GTGTTACCTGTCAGACGTTAAGCCTACTGTGGCCGCAGCTGGCCATTGCGAGGAGCCCATTGACCTTGATGACTTCAAGAAAATCGCGCCTGCTCCCAAAGCAGCTAGTAAAAAGAGAAAAGCGGACCACCTGGTGGCCGTTAAAAAAGAGAATCAATAGCAATCACTAATCGAGAAACGATCAGAGGATCTACGTCCCCAACCAGCTAGTGATAATATTGACAAGATGACAGCCATCCAAAATGAACCGTAAAAGTGGGGACAGTTGATTTTGCAAAGTTGGATGCAGACTTGCACCAACTGTTGAAGGAATTCAAAGATATCTTTTCCTTTGAAGTGGAAGAGATGCCAGGCGTCAGCCTGAATCTTGCTGTCCACAAACTTGTCGTGGATCCAAAAAGAAGCCGGTTAGACAAAAGAAAAGGAACCACGAGGAGGAAAGATCTCAGGTGGCAGCCGCTGAGGTCAAGAAGCTACTGGATGCCGGGATCATCCGGCAATGCTACTACCGAGATTGGGTATCTAGTGTCGTCCTTGTTAAAAAGTCGAATGGTACTTGGCGGATGTGTGTTGATTACAAAGATCTGAACAAGGCATGTTCGAAGGATAACTATCCACTTCCAAAGATCGACAGCCTAGTCGACTCTACAGCCGGCCATGCCTTGATAAACTTCATGGACGCATACTCAGGCTTCCATCAGATACCCTTATGGAAAAAAGATCAAGAAAAGACGGCATTCGTCACTGATCAAGGGTTGTTCTGTTATACGGTGATGTCGTTTCGGCTGAAGAATGGGCTTGCTACCTTCCTAACGGATGCTTAATACGGTCTTCATTAATCAAATTGGGAGGAATGTAGAGGCGTACATTGATAACATGATAGTTAAATCTAAGATCCAGACGGATCACCTTGTAGACCTCCGAGAAACCTTCACCACCCTTAGGCGGCATAAGGTCATGCTAAATCCCAAAAAGTGTGTCTTTGTTGTTGAGTGTTGGAAGTTTCTCGGATTCTTGATTGATCAAAGGGGAATAGAGGCCAATCCGGAAAAGGTACAGGTGGTAATTGACATGAAGTCACCCGGCACTGTCAAGGATGTCCAACAACTTACCGGTTGTCTCGCGACATTGGGGAGATTCCTCAGCTGGTCTGGTGACAAGTGCCTCTACTTCTTCCAGGCAATCAAGAAGAAGACTAGATTTGAATGGGGAAAGAATGCTGAGGCGACATTCCAGAAATTGAAAGAGCACCTCCACTCGTTGCCACGGTTGCTTAGCCCTCTAGCAGGAGTGGTCCTCTCTATGTATTTGGTCGTCTCAGATCATGCCCTCAGTGCCGTTCTCCTAGCTGAGAGAGACAACATTCAGCTCCTAGTCTATTTCATTAGCCATGTTCTCAAACATGCTGAGCTGCAGTACCTTAAGTTGAAAATTTTGGTCTCGCCCTGTTTATGGCAGTCAAGAAGTTGAATCCATACTTCTTGGCACATCCGGTGGTGGTCGACACAGACCAACCCCTCAAGCGGCCAATGACAACCTTGGAGTCATCCGACAGAATTCTCAAGTGGGCTATTGAAATGCAAAGTCTAGAAATTTCCTTCGAACCTGTAATGGCGGTGAAGGGTCAGGCGTTCGCCGACTTCATTGTTGAAATGACAAGACCGCCTCGGCCGGACAATATTGATCAGGTTTGGAAGGTTTACGTAGACGAGAGCTCTACTATGAACGGCTGTGGTGTAGTCGTAATTTGCAAGTCTCTGGAAAGGGACAAATAAGAATACGCACTAAAGTTCAGGTTCCAAGCCACAAATAATGAGGCAGAGTACGAGGCCTGGCTAGCCGCTATACGCATGTGTAAGGTGGCACGGGCAAGAAAAGTTGACGCCTGCTCAGATTCTCAACTGATGGTTAGCCAATACCATGGTGACTATGAGGCCACCCATCCTGCGAGGATCAAGTATCTGTAGGCGGTCAAAGATGAGGTTGGGTCACTTGACGAATTGCATCTAAGTCAAGTGCCCAGGTCAGAAAACAATCAGGCGGATGCATTGTCCAAACTGGCATCATCCGCCACTTGTGATGCCCTTAGGTCAGTCTTTTGGGAAGTCATGGGAAAAAGAAGTATTGAACATGATCCCATTGGAGTTCTTGACCGAAGCTCTACCTGGATGGATCTCATCCGGGATTATCTAGCAGATGGCACTTTGCAGGACACTTCTTGAGCAGCAGCAGCATAGAAAAAGCGAGCGTTGAGCTTCAAGATCTACAAGGGGGAGCTCTTCAGAAAGGGTTACCTCAAGCCGTTACTTAAGTGTGTTACCCCTCAAAGGGGAACAGAGGTTTTAGAGGATCTACACTCTAGCTTTTGTGCATCACATATAGGCGGTAGAACTCTAGCAAAAAGGGCCAGACAGCAGGGCTACTTTTGGCCCACTCTTGAGGCAGACGCCGTGGAAATGGTGAAAAAGTGTGACAAGTGCTAAAGATTTGGCCGGCTTATACACCGTTCGGCTACAGATTTGACGGCTATCTACAGCCCGGCTCTATGTGCAAAATGGGGCATGGACATTTTAGGTCCATATACGCCTGCCACAGGCGGGCGGAGGTATATCCTGGTGGTTGTATATTACTTCACCAAATGGGTTGAGGCAGAGGCAGTCAAAAGCATTAAGACAAAGGATGTCATCTCTTTTATCAGGAGAAACATCATCACCCGGTTCGGGTTCCTATGTCTATGGTCTTTGACAATGGCTCTCAATTTGAAACGCCTACCCTAAAGAGCTGGTTGGGAGATCAAGGGATCTCATATTAATGTGCATTAGTTGGCCACCCTCAAGCAAACGGCTAAGTTGAAGCCTTCAACAAGCTCATCTCAGACAACATTAAGAAGAAAATTGAAAGGGCTGGCGGTCTAAGTGTGGATGAGTTGCCTCATGTCATATGGGCCATCAAAACAACCGAAAAAGGGGCAACCGATGAAACCCATTTTCTCATGACATACGACACTGAAGCCGTCCTTCCTATTGAACTTTATGAGCCAACACTCCGAATCTGATTCTATGATGAAGAGAAAAATTCGGAGGTCATGCGTCTAGCATTGGATTCACTCCTGGAGCGTAGGGGCAATGCCGCCTTACTTCATGAGATTTACTGTCTGAAAATGATGAGGGCCTACAACAAAAGAGTACACAAGCGGCCCCTCAAAGTGGGTGACTTTGTGCTACGAAAAATGGAGGCAACCGGAAGGAAAAATGAGCAAGGAAAGTTAACCCCTAATTGGGAGGGCTCCTACCAGAGTTTTGAAGAAGTTAGAGGCGACACCTACTGCCTGGAAACTCCAGACGGCATGCAGCTAGCCAGATCCTGTAATGTAGATAACTTGAAAAATTATTACTTCTAAGGACTAGTAAATTTTTTGTAAATAAAGTACATTAACAAAAGAGTATTTTACTTTTATTATCTTTTGTATAAAGTCCCATTTGTGCAATGCAAAACCGGGCAATTGTTTTCTCTAATTGAGTAGAAGGCTAACTACCGAACTTAGTTATTCATAAGGCCAATGGCCAACATATTTTAAACCGCCTGCTCCAACATGAGCAGGCATCCGGCGATGCCCATTTGGGTGAATTCGTCGAAGAAAACATCTCCCTTCCGGGTGGTACATTGTTCTACAAGTCATAACCTAAACGACTTTAACCAGTTAGGTTAAAGATAACTCATGGTCGTTCGAATGATCTATCGAAATCAAGATACAACCGGTCATTGCCTCAAGGCACTACAGACGGTGAATCAAATCTTGGTATGTAGTCGGCTTTTGCCAAAAAGCACTACAATCGGCTACAAATTCCAAAATCAAGGTCCAAACCTTGTAACTTAATCCGCAATTGGTTAAAATGCATACGTTCGGCCATAGGCCATCTATATACCAATTAGCGGCACTGTCGGATACCCTAAGGATAATCCGGAGCCGGTTGACCGAGTAATCTAGGTTGGGTAAAGCAAACACCGCCATCAGATCCAACTTAGGAATAATTCTATTTCAAAATGGTCAAGAACCGCCTATTTATTAGTCCAGATGCTTGTATGGATGGCTGCCTGCTTAGATTTGGATTAACAATAAGCAAACAACCATCTAGGGGCAGAAAAAGCCAATGCATCCGGCATACCGCATGTATCAATTCGAATCATAATAAAGAAAAAAGATATTTCATTCAAGGCAAAAATTGCAAAAAATTGAAGCAAATAGTATTAAAGCAAAACCGACACAGTCGGCATATATATATATATAATTAAAATGTCAGCCGAACCCTTGTCCGGGGAAAGATACAGAATGTACGCCACACGCAGGCCGGATGAAGGCAGGAATAAAAAAAGGTTAAGCTACTACTGCTGCTGTTGCTGTTGTGACGGCAATCCCTGGCCAGTAGGAGGGGCTTCTTGAGTTTGCTGGGTTTAAGCTTCTCCAGCCTCACCTGGCAATATCCCTTCCGCGTGCTCCTCCATCTTTGGGATTCCGGCCCATTCTTCAAAGGGTGTCGTCTTCTCGGTCCCGAGAACCTGAGCGTCAAATACCTCAGTATCGTATTTGTATCTCAAGTCGAAGAAGGCGTAGTCGGTGTCCGGATGGATCATGTACCAGGCCATCTTCATGCGCTCCTCACAATTGCGCTTGTTCTCAGGGACTAGCCAGTCTTTTTCAGCCGCCAACTGGTCCTTGTGCTCCTTATGGGTCTGGACCAGCTCATTTTTCTGCCGGGTGACCTCAGCCTTCAGCTCGGTGTTCTCCTTGTCAGCCTCCCCCAAGGCTTTGTCGTAAGCCTTGAGTTTGTTGACTTGGAGTTCACAATCGACTGCCTTTTTGTTGGCTGTATCAGCAGCAGCCGTGAGCTTCTTAATCAGCTCCTCTTGTTTCATCTCTTAGCTTTTAGTTTGGATTTCAAGCATAAGGGAGTTATTTTGCGAAACATCTATTAGTTCGGTTGCCCGTCTCTTGGCATCCCTTACCTCCTCTTGCTTTTTCCGCAAAGGACCTTCATTCCATCAACCCACAACATCACCTGCAAAGTCAGCCGGAAAAGAAGTAAGTTTCTCAGTTATATTATAACCGGCAATGAACAATATTGCACAAAAGTATCCCAACCGGTAAATTACCTCAGCCAGCAGTGAGTTGATGCAGTCAATGTTGACCTGGTTGATACCCGGTACCAACTCCTTTTCTGACCGGGTGAGACTCCTCAGCATTCTCTTTGCGTAGTTTTGCAGATCCGGCCAACGAGAAGAGGCATCTACATCATGAGATTATCTGTTAAGTACTGAGCATTTGCAGCGCCTATATTCTATCGGCTTTATCAGGAATCCCCTGACTGAGTAGCTTGGGACTTGACTCGAACAGGCCCAAGCGGCTAGGGTGGTCAAAGGTGAGATAGTACCTTGGTTTTTAGGCTGAGGGGTGACACCACCCCCAGCCGCATTAGAGCCGGATGCAACAACAAGCACCTGGCTAGAGGGAACCTCAGGCTCCCCAGCTCTGGCCTCAGCCGGCCCTGAGCCCAAGCCTAGATCTCGCAGACTCATGCTTGCTGAAGTAGGCCTCGCAGGAGCTGGCTGTCTTCTGGCAGAGGCAAAGGCAGGGGCAGGGGCAGGCGGGACCCTCCGCCTTTGTGAAGAAGGTTGGGCGGGCTCCTCTCCCGGCCTTTTTAGCATTTGCCTTAGAGACCGAGGGACGTTCTTGCTCCCCGTCTTCAAAAGAAAGCAAAGCAAATGGTTAGTATTAAAATGGGGTGTAAGTCATATAGACGGTAAAAAGAACAACCGGTGCTTACCCCATCATCTTTGGCCGCCAGTTGGGCTTTTTTTTCTCAAGTTGTTCCTTCTGAATTTCAGCGGCTGACTTGGCCGGAGTTTTTTAGGGAGGAACCATCTCGAGTCCTTTCTCTACAAAGAGAAAAAATAAAGTTACAGATCATTCAAACACCATACAGGTGGCATAAGATGTCGGTTAAGCAATCAACGTATGTTTGCTCCAGAAAGTGCTAAGACAGCAGGCGGAAAGGAACGCCTCGTCTTTAAACCAATTCGGATGAGGGACCCACAACTTAGGGACAATGACTTATGTCCCATCATCTAGAGGCAGGGTAGTTTTCTTAAAAAGGCCTGGCTCCATTATTTGATCCTAGGACCTCTCCGGTATCTTGGGGAGGGCACACTTCTTTCCTAGAAGAGCTGGATGTTTATTATAGCGACGCAGCTGGTGGTTCACAACCGGAGAAGGGGAAGAAACCATGTAAAATTTTCTCTTCCAGCTGGTCTACATAGACGGCTTCTCCAACGTTATCATGTACTCCCGATGCGTGGTCAATGTGTACCACGCATTCCAGCCGCCTGGGGCACGACTAAGATAGTGCATATGTGTAAACGCCTCCTTACTAGGCGTTATGTTCTGCATTTCACAGGCGGCTATGTACCCAAGAATGTTCACCTAAGAGTTAGGTGTGAGCTGCCAGACGCCAAGGTCGTAGCCCCTTAGAATGACTTTGATTGTGTTGTGGTGGGGGAACCAGAGGCCGGCTTTGAATGCTGCCTCATAGAAGCCTAAGTAATCATCAGCGTGATCCAAGTCGTCATCCCAGACGACGGCCGCCTCCACTGGCGGAACAACGACTTCCCAGCCGGCCCCTATAGGGCGCTTTTCCAAGAATGCCGGGAGGGTGGCGTTTAAAATAACATCCCGAGCGCTCATGAGAGCCTCTATTGGTTTATTTATTGAAGGCCAAATATATGCCTCCTCGTCCTCTTGAGGGGCATCTGGCTCCATCGTCGACTCAGTGGAGTCGGATTGTTGGATGGTTTCTTCACCGTCTAAGCTCCCGGATTCTTCAAGAATCTCATCTCCGGGCGTGCTAAGTACGCCCTGTTGGTCATAAGGAGCATCATTAACCGGAGTTCCGGCTGAATCACCGGACTGGTACTTGGGGTCTACAACCGTCCACCTTGTCCGAGCCATTCTGTCCTACACATGAACAGAGACGGTCGGATTTGCAGAAGAGTAAGGGTGGTTCAAACACCCCCTAACGACATCCCTAGTCCTAGATTCAGCTGTGTCCGGTTACCCTAGGCCGTGCCGTGTGTGTGTTGGGTGAGTCCATTATTCTCTAACAATCTATACAACCGGGAAAAACTCAAAAAAGTTGCAAGGGGCAGAGACGGTACCTTGAAGTTGTGAAAAACATGGAAGGAGGTTGACTCCTTAAAGCTAGCAGACGGATCTCTGATTTGTGGCTTGAAGATACCCGAGACGGTGCCCGGATATACCCCTTTGAAGAGAAACTGAAACTTGTAGAAGATCTAACCGTTTTCTTAAAATGTGGCTTGAAGATACCACAGGCAGAAGAGACCGGCTGTGTGTCTTTTGAAAGCTAAAGAAAATAAACAGATGGTAAGGCGTTTTTGAAGAAAATTGCTTAAAGATGCCCTAGACGATAAAAGACCGGATGTGGGTCTATTGAATGCAACAAGAGAAAATTGACTAAGTCAGACGGTACCTTAGTTAGTTGATCAAAGAGCACTCAGACGGTATTCGGATGTGTTTGAATTGAAGAAGCTGGTTGAAGGCAAGAGCAGCCGATGTCAGAGCTTTTTTCTCTAAGAATTATTTTTGCGAAAATTTGTAAAGAATGAAATGAGAGGAGAAAGCCTCCCATTTATAGGAGGGGCAGAAGGCGAACCGTCACCTCCCCCTCCAATTCAAATTCGAAATTCGAATTTAAAAAAAAAATTAAAAAAATGGAGGGAAGGAGACGAACTGTCACCTTCCCAGAATGTGACCCGTGTCACAGGTGCCACGTGACAAGCCACGTCACACCTGTGAAGGCAAATGTTTGGGGTAAATATACCCTATGCCACGAGGACCAGTGGCATGCTGACACATGTCAGCCCCCAAAGACGCCCAATGGGATCCAATCAGATGTGGACACGTGGCACTGTAACCCTAATAGGGGAAATAATCCTCTTCTACTATAAATAGAGGAAATTCCTCATTTATTATTCATTCATGAACACAAACACAAAAACCGAGCAATATTAATTGCAGAATTCTATCTGAATCAGAGAGAAAACCCATTTATTTTCCGCACTTTTATACATCCAGAGACGTTTGAACTTGATCGTTGGAGGCAGAACATCACCCAACCGAAGTTTCGTGGTTTTGCAGGTACAGACGGTCGGCGCACATTCCCGGAATTGTAACTCTCCCAAGGGAATCCAAAAACCCTGAAACAAGAAGTACCAAAAGCATCTAAAATATCAACTTTTAAACACTCTGAGGCCATCTATAACATAGGATTTGAAATTGAGGATGACCTTATGAAAGCAAAAGTTGCTAATAATAGTAACAACAGTGGCTGGAAAGGAAAGAAGAATGACACTCTTTCTACTTCCAAAACCACCTACTCTAATAACAATGATAGCACCTATGATCTCAACGATGTCTTAGCCTTGAATAATCAAGGACCAAGAAAAGAACGAAAGAAACAGTTCACCCTTATTGGAATGAGATATGACACTGCTTTCAATCGTCTCCATGCCAAAGGATTGATCATTCCCATTGGACCTATCCAAAATCCAACGCCTGAAAGGAGATCACCTAATTGAAACGCCAACGCCCATTGCAAGTATCATCAAGGCAGGGGTTATACTATTGAGAGTTGTTGGAAACAAAAGGAAGCCATCCAATAATTGATCGACAACAACAAGCTTCCAATACCTCCTGCCGGTAAAAAGCTAAGCATCAACAATTCCCCACTTTTTGACGCCTTGGCTATTACCGAAGATCAAACCCATTTTGATCCATCTCTCCACATCAAGCCTATCGAAGAACCTTTCAAAGAAGAGGTTGCTGCTGTTTAGGGTAAAAAAATACCCCAGACACGTGGCCCTATGGCCATGTGACACGTGGCACCCAACCATTGGTCAGCTGGGCTCCAATCCCCTACTGATGAGATGACTTATAACCCTGTACCCCCGGATTAGGACAAGCGGCCGTTGGTCGAGCCTGAGGTCCAGACGGACCATGAAAGTGGTGACGACTATGAAGTCGACACCTATGTGGCCCGAGACGGGTCCTTTAGAACAAAACGCACCCGTTCCACAGACAAGAAGGAACGGGATAACAACCAAGATGCTCCAGGTAACCCAGCCGGCAACCCGGTTGGAGCTGCCCAGGCGGTAGAAGGCTCTGCTCCCGTCACCAGGAACGAACTCATGACCTTCATGAATAGTTTCAAGGGCGAGATCAAGAACCTTATTCGGTCAGCTACTCCCAAAGAGAGTCAGCCGGCCAAGAAGCATTCCTCTAGGAAGAAGATGATCAAAGATCGGGTCCCTACCCCTCACCCAAAACCAAAGGAGAGGGAGGGCCTCAAGCTCGATCCAAACAGGCTCTGCTTCCCTGAAGCGAAACTCAGAAAAACCATCCGGCACTTACAGCTAGATGGTTCCAAGAAGACTTTCTCTGATGCCCGGACGTTCCTCCAGGAAAAGAGAAGTCAAGCGTCTGCTTCGGGCTCAACGTTGACCTTCCCAGACAGTTTCCGTGACACCTCTAACAGGCGTACGGGAACAAGCCTAGGGAGTCAGACGGGCGAGCCCTCCGCTCGGTCTGGACCCAAAGTGATCCAGCTTGGTCTATTTGGTTCGCCAAATGGACTGGGTGGATCCTCTTTCACCCAGCCAGGTCTCTTTGATGGGAATGTACAGCAGTCGTACCAACCCATGGACTGGCAGCTACGCCTGCGAAATTTTGGAGAACAGCTAACAGCGTTCTCCCCCGAGATAACCTAGGCGGCACAACCGGCTAAGGTTAAGAACATGTTAGTAGGGGCTTACGATGGTACCTCCAACCTAGAAGACCACCTAATGGCCTAATCTAACCTCATGTACCTACAGGGGTTGGACGATGTCGTCTGGTGGCGATACTTCCCAGCTACCCTGAAGGGCATCGCCCAACAGTGGTTTGGTAATCTACCAGCCGGCTGCATCAACAACATTAGAACTTTGGCGTACTTATTTACGTCAAATTTTTCAATGAATATCCCTGCCAAAAAGACTAGCCTTGACCTAGGGGAAATACAGCAGGGTGACAGAGAAGGGCTCTGGTCCTACGTTAGACGGTTCAATTCGATGAGAATTCAGATTCAAAGACTGTCTGACGAAGTTGCTTACACAGACTTCTTTAAGGGTCTGAAGGATGGGTCGACCTTTAAGTTTGACCTCGTCCGGAAAAGGGTAGCCACCCTTTAAGAGGCGTTAATGGAAGCTGAAGCCTATATACAGGCGACGATTCTTTGCGCTGTAAAGCAGCTGTCGGATTCCAAAAAATCCGACAGAAAAGATAGCCGGCAACAGCAACAGCCGACGAAAAGAAGAGAATAGAGGTCTGGACGGCAGACCGCCGTAGTCAGCCGGCTCAGAAGCTCAGACGGAAATCTGAAATGTACGTTCCCAAATACGAGTTCACGAAGGAATGCTGCTCCATCCTCATGGAGATCAAAGACCGAATGTCTCTCGAGAAATCGGCTGCGATGAAAAGTCCCGTAAGCAACCAGGACAAGAGCAAATACTGCTAGTACCATGAGGATGTCGACCACGACACTAATGGTTGCTATAGCCTCAGGCGGCTATTAGACCATCTGGCTGATGAGGGGGCTCTAAAGTCCTATCTGCCCAAAGCCAAGAGTAACACCCAAGCAAAGAAGGGGCAGACGACAAAACCAACTCTGAGACGGATGAAAAAACTATCTTCACCATAGCAGGCGGTTTTGCCGGAGAGGGCCCCACCATTAGGGGTACCAAAGATAACATCAGGAAGCTGGTCAGCTCAGTGGATGAGGGCCAAGCGTCGAAAGACACCTTTCCTGAGGTCCTTATTTCTGAAAAAGGACCGAGGCAAGGTCAGGCGGCCTCACGATGATCCCATAGTCAACGAATGTAAAGTTGCCAATCAGAGGGTTGGCCAGATTCTAAGAGGTACCGGGAACTCGTCTGAACTGATCAGCTATCAGTGCTTGACCAAGCTCAAGTACAAATCCAGTAACATGCACCAGGCGCCTCACCCACTAGTTGGTTTTGGGGGAGGAGTAGTGCATCCGGTAGGAAGCCTAGATCTTCCCATCCGGCTGGGTGAAAAAGGGGGAAGGACGCCACATGGTTGTAAAATTTTTAGTTGTAGAGGAACTGGCCGCCTAGAACATGATCTTTGGTTGTCCGACCCTCAACGAATCCAAGGCTGTCATCGTCCTCTCGCTCATGCTCGTTAAATTTGAAAAGGATGATGGTAAAGTCGGTTCCCTGAAAGGGGACCAGAGGACGGCTAGGGAGTGTTATCTCTCTGACGTCAAACCAACTATCGGAGCAGCCGGTGACGTTAAGCCCATAGACATCGATAACTGCGATACCGCAGTCCCGGCTCCAAATGGAACCCGCCAACCAAGAAAAATAGCAATCACGACCTCAGCCGGCTGGTGACTGCCTCGATGTCGTCCTAGACGACACCCGCCCTGATAGAACCGTCAAGATTGGGACGGTTGCTTTTGAACGGTTGGGAGCAGGCCTGCTTCAACTTCTGAAGGAATTCAAGGACATCTTTGCCTTTGAAGTGGAAGAGATGTCAGGCGTCAGCCCGGATCTAGCCGTCCACAAGCTCGCCGTGGACCCTAAAAAGAAGTCGGTCAGGCAGAAAAAGATGGATCACGGTGAAGAAAGATCTCAGGGGGCAGCGGCTGAGGTCAAAATGCTGTTATATGCTGGGTTCATCCGGCAATGCTACTACCCGGATTGGGTAGCAAACGTTGTTTTTGTGAAAAAACCGAATGGTACCTGGCGGATGTGTGTAGACTACACAGATCTGAACAGATTATGTCCCAAGGACAGTTACCCGCTTCTAAAGATCGATAGTCTGGTCGACTCAACAGCCGGTCATGCTCTAATGAGTTTCATGGATGCCTATTCAAGTATCCATCAAATACCTTGTGGAAAAAAGATCAGGAAAAGACGGCCTTCGTCACTGATCAGGGGTTATTTTGTTACAAGGTGATGCTGTTTGGGTTAAAGAATGCACCAGCTACATTCCAGCGCATGATAAACACAGTTTTCATCAACCAGATTGGCAGGAATATAGAGGCGTACATTGATGACATGATAGTGAAATCCAAGCTACAGACGGATCACCTATTAGACCTCCGAGAAACATTCACCACACTCAGGCGGCACCGGGTCATGCTGAACCCAAAGAAATGTGTATTTGGTGTTGAGTTTGGGAAGTTCCTCGGATTTTTGATCGACCAAAGGAGCATAGAGGCTAATCCGGAAAAAGTACAGGCGGCCATCGACATGCGGTCTCCCCGCACTATAAAAGAGGTCCACAAGTTGACCGGTTGCCTGGCGGCGTTGGGGAGGTTCCTCAGCCGGTCAGGCGACAAGTGCCTCTATTTCTTCCAGGCCATCCGGAAGAGGCGAAAGTGGCATTCCATAGGCTAAAGCAACACTTGCACTCTTTGCCAAGGCTAGTGAGCCCCCTACCCCAGGAGGTTCTCTACATGTACCTAGCCGTCTCTGATCAATCCCTCAGCGCCGTCCTCCTTGCTGAGAAAGCCGGTAACCAGCTCCCGGTGTATTTCATCAGCCATGTTCTTAAAAATGCTGAGCTCTAGTACCCTATGATCGAAAAATTTGGGTTGGCCCTATTCGTAGCAGTCAAGCGGTTGAAGCCTTACTTTTTGGCTCACCCGGTGGTTGTATATACAGACCAGTTGCTCAAACGCCCAATGACCACCATCGAGTCATCCGACAGAATGATCAAGTGGGCTGTTGAAATACAAAGCCTTGAGATAACTTTTGAATCCACGTGGGCAGTGAAAGGTCAGGCGTTTGCCGACTTCATTGTCGAGATGACTAGACCGGTGCAACCAAAAAATCCTGATCAGGTTTGGAAGTTATTTGTAGACGGTAGTTCTACAGTGAACGGCTGTGGTGCAGGCGTTACATACCATTCTCCGGAAGGGGATAAGTTTGAATATGCTCTGCGGTTCAAGTTCCAATCCTCGAATGATGAGGCAGAGTATGAAGCCCTGCTAGCCGGTATACGCATGTGTAAGGCGGCAGGGGCAAGAAAAGTCAGACTCTCAGTTGATCGTTAGCCAGTAACATGGTGACAACGAGGCCACCCATCCGGCTATGATCAAATATTTGCAGGCGGTCAGAGAAGAGGTGCGTCACTTAACGAATTTCATCTAAGTCCAGTGCCCCGATCCAAGAATAATCAGGCGGATGCCCTTTCAAAATTGGCATCATCCGCCTCTTGTGATGCACCAAGGATAGTCTTTTGGAAAGTCATTTAGAAAAAAAGCATTGATCATGACCCCATTGGAATTCTAGACCGAAGTGCCACCTGGATGGACCCCATCCGGGCTTATTTGACAGACAGTACTTTGCCGGATGTCCCTTCCAAAGCAGCAGCACTCAAGAAGCTAGCCCTAAGTTTTGTTATGCACCAAGGGGAGCTCCTCCGGAAGGGGAACCTACAGCCTTTCCTGAAGTGTGTAACCCCGGAAAGGGGAACATAAGTCCTAGAGGACCTGCACGTGGGATTTTGTGCCTCACACATAGGTGGCAGGTCCCTAGCAAGAAGAGCCAGACGGCAAGGGTATTTTTGGCCCACTCTTGAGGCACACGCCACGGATTTGGTGAAACGGTGTGACAAATGCCAAAAGTTTGCCCGGTTGATACATCGACCAGCAAATGATCTAACAGCCATCCACAGTCCGGTTCCATTCGCAAAGTGTGGCATGGACATTCTGGGTCCTTAAGCCCCTGCATCAAGCGGTCGCCGCAACATTTTGGTGGCAGTGGACTACTTCACCAAATGGGTTGAAGCAGAGGCGGTTAAAAGCATAAAAGCAAAGGATGTGATCTCCTTCATCTAGAGAAACGTGATCACCCGGTTTGGGTTCCAGTGTCTATGGTTTATGACAACGGACCACAATTTGAAACGCCTATCCTCAAGAGCTGGTTGGGGGACCAAGGAATCTCCCATTGTTTTGCATCCGTTGGCCGACCTCAGGCAAACAGACAAGTAGAGGCTTTTAACAAGCTTATCTCATACGGTATAAAGAAGAAGGTGGAAAGAGCCGGTGGACTATGGGCAGAGAAATTATGTCACATCCTTTGGGCCATCAGGACAACCGAAATAGGGGCAACTGGTGAAACTCCATTTTGTATGACATACGACACCGAGGTGGTACTCCCCATTGAGCACTATGAGTCAACCCTCCGCATCATGATGTATGATGAGGAGGCCTACTGGGAAGCCATGCGCCTTGTCTTGTGCTCAACACAAGCGGCCCCGAGAACTAACGAATCATCCGGTGACACCCATACGGGTGAATTCATCGAAGAGAACATCTCCCATTTGGGTGGAAAATTGTTCTAGTGATCAAACTTCAGGCGGCCCTGCCCGCCTGAATGATCCATTGCACCAAAGAAACGCAGACTAGCATTCCCAAACATGCAGTCGGCTCGCTCTTTGGAAAAAGTATCAACAAAGGCTAGTCTCAAAACAGACAGTCGATACCCAATGTCGCCGCCTGACTCACTAATAGAAGGTAGGCCTCAAACATTTGGTTTAGGCTATAACCTATGCAAAGGTGTTCTTGCAAAAGCCCAACCGGCAAATGGACACCCTAAACCTACGCAAAGGCCTTTACAAAAGCACCAGCCGGCAAATCAGTAGAAACCGGCTGGCATTCAGTCTGATGTTAGCACTTAGCTAAATTATTAATATTTGTACTATTGCATATTGATAGCCGCCTAGCACCATGTCACTTCTGCCAGCCCCCTATCCAGGGGAAACTACCCTAACCCAACCCAGTCTGGTTCAGGTTCATGCGGTAATATACTTGCAAAGAGTAAAAAAAAATTTTAAATTTTTAATTTTGTGCAAAGGTAGTGCAGAAGAAATTCATTCAAAAGCCGGCTCTGCTGGTGGAAATGTTTACAAATAAAACCGGCACAGCCGGTGAAATATATCAATACTCGAAATAGAAAACAACAGCAGAATACGCCGACCCTTCCGGCGCTATTACAAGGTAATGCACGGCACTAAGGCCGGGAGGTCGTTGCTATTCTATCTGAACGGTCACCCGGTCAGCTGGAGCCTGAGTTCCTTCCGGATGAGCTGGGTCGGTGATGGGAACGGAGCCAGGAACAACTTCATCCTCGACTGCCTCCTCGCGGCCAGCCGCCTCAAACCATTATACATAGGGTTTAGGCCCCGGCTTGCCTTCCTTCTCAGCCAGAATGGCAAGATCTGCGTATTTGTAGGCAAGCTCCCAGACGTTGTAGTCTGTCCCCAGATGGATAATGGAGAACGCCCTCCTCCTCCGGTTCTCGCAGTCCTGCTCATTCTCCTCAATGAGCCGGCTCTTTTCAGCTTCAAGGGTGGCCTGGAAGTTGCCCTGTGCAGCAGCCGCCATTTTGACCTGACGGTCATTTTCTTTTTGCAGGTGGGAGCTAGTCTTCTCCACCTGGTCCAGCCGTTTGAGGGGCTCCTCATGCTTCTTGAGCTCATCTTCGGCATTGTCCAGGGCCGCCTGAAGATTGTCCACTTTGGTCTAGGACTCTTTGAGGGCCTGTTGGAGGGTCTTGACCTGGCCCGCCTGTCGCATGATTATAGATTTGGTTTCTAAGTCATGCATAATCATTGAATATTCAGCAACATTATGTGCATCATCTACAACCCGTTTGGCTCTCCTTACCTCCTCCTGTTTGCGTATATAGGCCTTTTTGAGCCCTTCCACGCGCAGCAGCGCCTGCAAAAGCATTACACGGTAGAAATATCGGACGTGCATACATAAAATAAGATGACGTGTGGGCACTTTAAACTTACGTCAGCTAGCACGACCATTACACGGTCGGCATTGAAGGTGTGGATCCTAGGGATCGCTTCCTTCTCGTCCCGGGGGACGGCTTTCGGCATGGCTCGGGCATTCTAAGTTGCATTCGGCCAGCGAGGGGAATTATCTGCACCAGAAACAGACGGTGAGAAAGCTGCATATGCTCCACCTACGGACAGCCGACTGATCGGAGAATCTCCCGGCTTAAACTGAGAATATGACTTAACCCGCATGGGTAGGTCAAGCAGCGTGAGGTTGAAAGGGTTTGTACCTTGTGGGGGACCTCTTGGTCCTCCGTCTGTAGATGGACCCGTTTTGGCCCTTATTTGGGTGACCTCTTTTGAGGCCACGTTTTCAGCAGTTGACCTGCCTGGGGTATTTATTGATTTACCGCCGGTAGAGGCCAGGACAGTAGATGTTGTTTTCTGCACCTTAGATGCAGGCTCTAATGCAGGCGGACTTGGCCGAATCTGCTTCTGAAGGGAGCGGGGTGTTTTGCTCCCATCCTGAAACAAAGCGGCAAAGGGTCAGACGGGAAAGCAAAAAATTGTACACATAAATCCCAAGTCATACGGTCTAACCTTCTTAGCCGCCTGAGCAGCAAGTTTTTTCTCCAGATTCTCCTTCCGGATGTTTGAAGCTTTTCTGGCAGGGGTTTTTCCTGTTGGCAACATGTTCTTTCCTTCTTCTGTAAAGCACAAATCAAACACATCCAGTTAAGATTAGAACAATATCACAAGCATTGCAATCAAAAGAAAGTTGCTAGCCGACATAAAATTAGCTGGCTTAGGCTCTTAACCTACGTCTTTCGAACATGCTGCTAAGCCCGCAGGTGGACAAGAAGCACTCGTCTTTAAGGAATTCATGTTTGGGCACCCTTATTATCTCTCCGGTTGAGAGAGTGGAGGACACTAGCTCAAAGAATCCGGAGTCCAGTATATCCTCTCTATCGTTCTCCGGTACCAGGGGCAACCGACACTTTTGCCCTAAAAGTTTTGGTTTCCGATTGTAGATCCGGAACTCCCTATTCTCCTCTTCAGTCGGAGCCTTAACCAAATAAAACCGGTTCTTCCAGTCCAACCATTTAGACGGCTTATCCAGCGTCATCAAGTATTGGGGATAAGTCGTCAAAGTGTACTAGGCTCTCCAGCCGCCTGGGCTTCTACTCAAATAGTGCATATGGGCAAACGCCTCCCAGCCGGGGTTGAGATCCTGCATCTCACAGGCGGCGATATACCCGAGTATGTTCACCCAGGAATTAGGGGTGAGTTGCCAGGAGCCTAGGCAATATCCCCTAAGTTTGGCCTTTATTGTGTTGTGTAGAGGGAAGTGGAGCCCGACCAAGAAGGTCGCCTCGTAGCACCCAAACCAGCTCTTTGCATTGGGTTGGTCGTCCTCCCACACAACCGTTCCCAACTCCGCCGGCATTGACAACTTATAACCCTCTCCTAGCGGCCGCCTGGTGACAAAGTTCGTCAGGGTGGACCGCATAAGGGCCCTGTCCTTAGTAGGAACGACAATCATGAGAGGGTCGTTTCTACTATGCTAAGTAGGCCTCTCCGCCTCCTCGCTATCTTCATACGAGGTCAGGTAGCTAGTGCTACTGCTTTCAAAACGACCGACATCAAAGTCGGATGGGGAGTTAGGATCCTCGTTGATGGATCCTGAGTGCTCAGCCTCCTGAGCAGGGGAAGTCTCCTCGTTGTATGAGCCTAAGATGCTATCGCTTGGGGTGTCGGGGATGCCCCCGGGTGAGTCTCTAGCCACCTCGTCCGGGGCTCGTCTCTCAGGCGACAACTCGTCTGAGCCCCCGCCTCTATAATTAGGGTCCATAGCTGTTCCCCTAATCCTTGCCATCGTGTCCTGCACAGACACGGAGTCGGTCGATATAGGCGTTGAAAAGGGGAAATTCCAAAGATCTGAGGCGGCAGATCCAGTTCTAGACTCAGCCGTACTAATTGACCGGCTGAGTTCACAACTATGTTTAGGGTATGGCTATAAAGGGTCCATCTACTTATGGGACTAGTAAATAAAAGCACAAGTAAAAGACGCAAATGGAAATACATGGAAAAGCTTGAAGGAATAGAGACGGTACCTAAAGAAAGGGAGAATTTGTTGAAACCTCAAGAAATTTCTTGGGGATGCTTGTGAAGACGCGGACGGTCTGAAAACCGGCTGAGTTCCCTTGAGTACCCTCACTAAAATCCTTTGCTTGCTCGCAACAACGCAGGCGGTCTGAAAACCGGCTGCTCTCAACTATCAAATTTTCGACTACTCTCAACTCTAAAATACCGAATGCTCTCAAATTCAAGAAATTTCGCGAAGTTATTGTAAATGAGAGCTCGAGGGCACCTTCTCCTATTTATAGGATTTGTCCTAGAAGGCGAAGAGTCGCGACCCTTCCCCTTCTACTTTTCCCTGCTTTTCCTTCAGTTAGAATCTAAATAGTTTTTTTTAAAAAAAAATTAAAAATTAAAAATTAAAAAAAAAAAAAAACTGTCAGCACTCTTCACAGGCGCCACGTGGAAACTTGCAACGTCAGCACCTATGAGGGGAAAATGTTTGGGGTAAAAAATACCCCAGACACGTGGCCCAATGGCCATGTGACACGTGGCACCCAGCCATTGGTCAGCAGGGCTCCAATCCCCTACTGACACGTGTCCAGTAAACCCTAAATGGGAAACAAAAACTCCCCCACTATAAATATTGGAAGGACCCTCATTAATGGGGTATTCATAAATACATACACCAATCCCAAGCAATATTAATTGCAGAATTCTCCCATTACGCGAGAAGTAATTTCGCTATTTACGCACACTTTTCCTCCTGTACGTTACTGACTTGATCGTCTGAGGCGAAGCTCCAACTAACCAAAGACTTCGTGGTTTTGCAGGTACCAGCGTTGAAGGGCATTCTCGGAATTGTAACTTTCACGCAGGACACATCAAAAAACCCAGAAACAGCTGCCATTGAAGAAGAAGAGGAGGTCTTCTTCGATGCCATGACCGATTTCCGAAGTGAGGCTACCAATGAAAACATTGCTAACCTCCCTAATGAGGCTACCAAAAAAGACATTGTTGGCCTTCATAATACTATTTATATATCCCATGTCGAAGTTCAAAATCTTCTTAGACAAATAGTAAACATTGAATGCCATCATATTCAAAGAAAAAGCCACAAGAAAGAAAAGTTACAAAGGGTTGCACACCTATATGCATCACTTATGAAAAAGATTTTGACATGCTCCATAGCAGGGGTATGGTTAACCTCTCAAACCAAAGGATTCCTAAGCATTCGAATCTCTTGAACGAGAGTATTGCAAATACCATTCATAAGTGTCATTTATGACACATATTAGGGTGTTTTTCTCCCTTAGTTTTAGGTTTATTTCGGTGTTTCTTTGTTATTTCTATTCCTTTTACTCTTGTTTTTGTTATATTTGTCTTAGTTTACGGTTTTAGGCCTTAGTTGTGAATAATATGCTTTTTGCTCGGTTTCTAGCTTGATTTGCATGTTTTTCTTTGTGTTCTTTCACTCTTTTCTCTCTTTGTCTATTTGTATAGGTTCTTGACGCTTTCTTCGATGCTTATGAACCGAGAAAAGTCAAGAAATTACAATAGAAGAAGCTTGAAGCTAAGGAAGATGCTAAGAAGCTTCAGACAAGAAAGCTTGAAACTCGTAGAAGGCCTTAAACCGAGTATTGTTCACTCTTTCACCCATAACTTTTGATCTACACCTCAAATTGAGGCGATTTAAGATGCGTTGGAAATTAGACTTGAAAAGCTTTCCAACGGTAGGTCGCACACCCCAAGAGGCTTCCTAGAACAGAATTTATGGCCGTTTGAATCTGCAAGATACTGCCAGGCTACGCAGCCTCCGCGGGCGCGGCTATAACACCCGCGGGCGTGGATAGTGGTGCCGCGGGCGCGACCATTTCTGCCGCGGGCGCAGCACTCCGTGTTTCTTGGATTTGCAACTTTCTAGAGTTTCCTTGCCGCGGGCGCGGCATTCTAGGTCTTTTTCGAGCTTTAATTTCGGATTTCCTTCATTATTTTCTTGTAATATAAATAGAAGACTTCCTAGATTTCTCAATGGAGAGTTTTACATTTCCTCTCTCGTCTAATAAGGATTAGGGTTAGATTAGGATTTTCTCTCTCTATTTTAGGAGTAGTTTTAGAGAGAGAAAGCTTGGATTTCAATGGAGATTTGGGAGGTTGAAGAAGCAATTTTGTGGATTCTCTTCTCATTTATTCAATGAGCTTTTCTAACTTTCTCTCACCTTTATTGATTTGTTTAACTCTTGTTTTGGTTTAATTCATTGTTGATTAAAGTAGTTAATTAGTTTGGTTGTTTGATTCTTTCTTTAATTCTAGTTTTATCTTGTTTTCCATGTTCATCTTCATTATGTTTGCTTAGTTTTTGTTCTATGTAAATGGATGAAGGTTAGGTTGATGGATTGAGTGATTGGTTGTGATTAGTATGCAATTGATTCTTGATTATTGTGTTTGGATAATGCTTACATTGACTAGAATCTTTTTAGCTAATTGATTCTAGGTTCTTCATTGTGCTTGCAATCAATT